CACTATTGTACACTGAAGACCACAAGTGTGCAGGATAGCTGTGCTGGGGTCAGCTCAGAAGCAGTGACAGTGTGATAGAGAACTGCATCAGAGTTAAAAAAAAAATTCATAGATGTCGTGATGCATGCCTGTAATCTCACCTACTCTAGAGGCTTGGGTAGGAGGATCACAAGTCCCAGGCCTGTCGCAAAATAAAAATAAAAGTGGCTAAGGTTGTGTCTCTTAGGCTTAATCCCCAGTACTGGGGAGGAAAATCCTGGAATTCAGGCTTCTTTTCCCTATGTTATCCCTGTCTCCTTTCCCTATCCCTATTTTCCCAATAATAGCTATTGAAAATCTTAACCAAATTCTTTAATCATTTTAAACAACCATTACTCCAGGAAGCTTCTTCTCCACATCCCAAATGAAGGAGATTTTCATTCTGAGCTCTTAGACTTTTGTTTCTGGGGTATATATATTATTTATCCTGTAAACTACAGGATAAATAACATTTCTGTCTTATCAAAAATGGTGTCTTGTACAAAGTAAGTTTTAGGAAAAATTTAAAGAATTGGATTTTGGAGAAATCCAATTGGAGAAATTAAGGGAGGTTGTCCTGTGATGAACTATATTCTTTCAGAAGGCAGTAGCCCCCAATGCCTGAATGAGTACAAACTCTTCCCCACATCATCTTTCACCCTCAGATGGATTCCCAGATGACTTTCTTTTTCAATTTATAAGATACTTTTAAATAAAAATGTGGGGCAGGCCTGCAATACAGTCTGGAATTTTAGGGCCAATTCACTGAACTTTAATAAAATAACAGATAAATTTAGCCTAATTGTTTTATGTATAGAATACTGGCATCCAGCCTGCTACTTTATTTTTGCTCACTACTAGGTCCCATCCTCCACCTCAAAATAACGGCAGCCTTCTTCACTCCAACTCACAATTGTCAGGCTCCATCATTATCTCATCTCTAGGAAATGCCGAGTCCTCAGAATCCTCAACTCTAATGAATGGGGGGGGGGGGCGGGGGCGGGGGGGGGGGGCTGATTAAAGCCACAGAAGAAAAATGGGAAAAGCTACTCGAAAGATGCCTCCTGCAAATGCCTATCCCCTTTCAACATTAACATGAATTCCTACATTAACAAATATTTATGAGGTCATGGCTAAAGTGTCCAACCATGGGCGAAGCCCTTTGCTCTGCAGCACAGAGACAGAACCAACATCAAAGTCCATCACATAAAGCTGCCCTTCCCTGCTAGCTCATGCATTTCACAGGACACAGCAGGCACATGGGATGATCAGGGTCTGGGGATGGGTCCAAGATAGAACATGAAATGCGTTCAGTGCCCTCAAGGAATATGCAACCTAGTTGGAAAAGCAATGGCGTAGCAAAGTATCTAAGAGTCTAAAGAATGATGCTGAGAGAGTGTGAAAGAAAAAAACTGAGAGTAACACAATCAAGGCTTGAACCCAAAGAATGTGAAAGAGAAAAAAAGGGAAAAAAGAAAAGGTACTAAAAAAGCAAATGAACAAAAGTGTACAAGTGAAAATGAGCATGCTATCTCAGAAGGGCAGTGAACTCTAGCCAGTAGACACAGACAGTTCATACTAAAAAGTAGAAAATAAAGTTGACAACTCAAATTGGGCAGGACTGAAAGCCAGGCTGAGGGGGTGGACTGTGTCAAGGATAAGCAGGGTGAGTGGAGCCAATGGGAAGTAGATGAACTTCAAGGAGCTCTTTGACTCTGCCATAATTTACCAAACACCACATCTCGACCTGCCTACTTTAAACACACTCAGAACATTAGCCTGTTACAGCCAGAAAAGTCATCCAACACCACAAAGTCCGCACTGGTCATATAAGATACTGAAAACTTACATCAAAAACACTGCCAGCTCAGGACCCTGCAAAGAATCTGTTGTTTCCCCTCCTAAGTTTGTGGCCAACTGGGAGCTGCTACTGCAGCCTTCCAGCCTCATAAAACTGTATCATCCTGCACATTGAAAGATCAAAATTCAAAATTACAAGTATAGCTCCCACTGAATGCATACTGGTTTCACAGAACAGAACAGTCAAAAAGTCTTAAGTGGAAGCACCCATTCAGATGGGGACGAAAGTCCACTGAAAAGAACACCAGCAACGGGGAGTAAAGGAAGAAAAGCAGTGTGAGATGGGCTTGGAGAAACCGCTACAAATGGAGAGTTAATGGGACTTCATATAGCTTTCCTGAGGGGGAAAGAAGAGTCAGGAGTGGATCCTAGGCCTTCAGTCTGGGTGATGAAGTGAATTCTGAGAATATTAAGAAATCAAATCTTTTCATCATCAAAGCAACATGTTCCTAGGGAATATGAAAGTTGTCGAACAATATGAAATGTTTATTATCAGACCTGTAGCCTTTGCAAGTCATCATCTATTATGGAAAGCCTAATAAACATGTGGGTAAGTGTGACTGGAGTCTCAATTGGTACTGGCGTTAAAGAGTCATACAATGGAAAGAAAGATCACAGTTATGACTGTTTTGTGAGAAGTGAAAATTACTCTCCAAATTACCTATTCTGTTGATTCAAAAATATTTAATACATATGGTAATTTATTTTTACACTACTGGTCTCAGTTCACTGAAAAGAAAATTTTGTGCTATTGTCTGTTTCTTCTTTGTAGGAGAGCCAACTCTTGTGTGTTATACTCTGAGTAACTACTTTGAAGATAATGTTACACAATGTACTAACTACTGTTACTGTCTTATTATTTTGTTATGAAATTTTGTTTTTTATGAAATAAAGAATTTTAATGGAATATACAGTATATATACTAGAGAGCATATATATTTATAGAGAGAGAGAGACAGAAAGAGGGAGAGAGAGAGAGAGAGATGAAAGAGAGATTGTCCACATACTATTCTTAGTTTTGGTTAGTGGACCGCTTATTCATTAACACAACACTGAACAAATAAACGTCTATAGAATTTAAACATATGGCTTATTTACATAACAAGCATCACAATTCTAGGAATGGTTCCTAAGCCTCCAGACTGGGTGATGAAGTGAATTCTAAAAGTATTAAAAAATCAAGTCTTTTCATCATCAAAGCAACATGTTCCTAGGGAATATGAAGGTTGTCAAAGAGGCTCATCTTACCAGAGGGGACTTCTACTTCTTCCCTGGTAACCAAATTGGAGCCAGAAGTTCACTTCATTTTGTTGTGTCAAGGAAATAATACCTTCATAATAGACTACTTCAAAAAAGGAAGAAGAAACAGTTTTGTTTTCCTATAATTATGTTTACTAGGTTTTTGTTTGTATAACAAAAATTCTATTTTTATTGTGTGGTTACATTCTAATGTAGAGCACTGATGGAATGAACTGATTAGGTGAATTATGCACAGCCATTCAGAGATCAATAACCAGACCCAGTCTGTTAAATCTGCCCATCCAGCTGCCCTTACCACCTGTGTCATGTTTATAAAAGCTACTGTACTGTGTATGGAAATCATAACCACCATTGCATTCAACTGTAATGGTCCAGTAACAGTATTAGGACTACGGAAGAGGAGTAGAATGCACTACCATAGAACAGTGACTAAGCAGGACCTGCCAGAGGCATAGAAGACACACTCTACTCTTGGCATATGTTCAGACAGGTGGGAGAGGCTCATCTTACCAGGGGGAACTTCTGCTTCTTCCCTGGTAACAAGACTGTTGCCAGAAGTTCACTTCATAACATGTTGACTAATAGGCATAAAGGTGACAGAATGAAGATCACCCATGAACCTCCAAAACACAACCACACTCGTTAATAGGGTGCAATTTTCTGATTGTGGACTCAGAAACCAATCAACATGAGGACTAGAAGTAAGACATTCCTGAGGCTGAACTTCTGGGAGAAAGACCCCATTTCCACAGCAAGTGTCCCACTAGGTGTTTGAGACTGACCGTGCTGCAAGAACGCGGAGGGCAGCACGGCCTGAGTGTGCTGTGACCATTCAAGGATCTGTGGAGCCCTTCAGAAGCCCTGGAGAGTGGGTGTGAGCAGACACTGGCAGCCCAGGGCCTTCCTCACAGGCTCCCTAGAACAGGATGGGAACACAAGTGGCGCTGGTCTTTTTGCTGTCTCAAAAAGTACACTAAATAAACTCAGCAGCTTCTTAAGGAATCATTTAATATTTCCAAAGATTGAAGAAAGAAAACGATCAATGAACACACCCCTTTCTCAGATGTTCAGTTTCTGCAAACATCTTAGACGTGCTCTGCATTCAGGCGTTGTGTTTCTGCGCAAATTATTTTCTAGGGCTGGTGTGTGTGTGTGTGTGTGTGTGTGTGTGTGTAGACTGCACAGGTAGGAAATCTGGCACGCTGTCTGTTCTGCCGGTCCACACGCTCACAGGGCTCTAACCCAGCTTGAGTTTATTCCAAAACTCTAATTAGAGAATGCAGTAGGGTTCGCCTGTCCAAATGGAAAGCCAATCCGAACTTGATGTCCCCAGTTACAGACCCGCAGGTCTTCCACGGACGACCCCGCATCCTCAACCCGACCTCGGTCAGTCCTCATCGCTGCAGCTCACCACCCACCCAGGCAACTTTCAAGGAGTGTTCGGATCGCTGGCTGCGCTCACTGCCTTTCCGGTCCCTGGTTCTCCCGCCCCAAGGCCCCGAGGCGCCGAGCCTGTCTCCGCAGCCGCTCCTCCCTGGCCCGGGGACCAGTTCCGTGCGGGCGGAGACCAGCGGTCCCCAAGCCGAGGTCGCCGCCGCTCGCGCTCCCGCGTGCCCGGGTGTCGCCCGGGGATCGGAACCGGCACTCTGGGCTCTCACGAGCGCAGTCTACACTCGCAAGCAGGGGACGACGCGCGCTGCGGAACCCGCGGGAACCGGCTCCGGCCCGAGTCCTCCGCCTGCGGCCACACCCGGGGCCCGGCGAGCCGACCCAAGCGGAACAGAGCCGGGCCGTCCTCGTCCCCGGGGCCGCCGCCTGCGTCCCCCGCCCTCCCCGCCGCGGTCCCGGTCCGGTCCGCTCACCTCGGCCTGTAGACTCGGCGTCCTGGCCCTCGTTCTCGGTCCGGAGGCAGAGGCAGCGGCGGAGACGGCGGCGGCGGCGGGTCCTCTTAGGCGCTGTCCTCTCCTCAGCGCTCTCCAGCGCCCCGCGCCCTCTCCACAGCGCCGCCCCCCTCAGCACCACCTCCTCCTCAGCACCGCCCGCTCCTCAGAAGCCGCCCTCGGCCACGCCCCTTGTAAGCCCCGCCCCTCAGCACCGTCTCTCAGCCACTCCCCTTCCTTCACACTGCCCCTCCCCAGCCACGCCCCCTTTCAGCCCAGTCTTCCCTTATGCTTAGGCCCCGCGGGCGGCGCTGTCCGGTCTCCCGCGCGCCCTCAGTCGCACGCACGCTCGCTCACACTCACACGCGCTCCCTCACACCCAAGGCCCCGCCCCCGGCACACCCGCCAGGTGGGCGCACCGGGCCACGTGGCGCGGCGCCCCCACGCGGAGGAGCCGGACGCAGGCCCCGGGCGCCGTCCGTTGGATCCCGCGCTCTGTCAGGTTTCCTTGCGGCCCGCAGGGTTGCCTCACAAGTGGAGAAACTGAGGGATGCGCGCTGAACACTGCGGTGCCTCGGCAGCTGTGGAAGCACGAAGCCTTGCGAGGAGTCCCGGCCCGGCGGTGCTGGCCAAGTGATGCACGCTCAGTCCTGGGCACAACAGAATCCAAAGTGAGGATGAAGTTGGCCCCGGGAGGCAGGAAGCCGTCAGTGCGTGCCCTCTTCTGCCACGCCACTTGGGAGCCTCCTGGACTCAAGCCGAATCCCACTCAGCTTTCCCTGAGAGGGACCGGACACGAGACAGGGGAGCCGGCCTGCCTTCTGACCCAGGGGCAGTGCCGGCGTGTGACCGCATCTGCGCGTGTGGGCGGCAGCGCCTGGCAGAGGGGTCAGGGCCAGCCGTGCACAACACCGTGGGCCCACGGCCGGACAAGGACCGCAGCTCACCTGTGGAGGCCTCCCCTGTTCGCAGAGAGACAAAAAAGCAACTCACTTGGAAACAGGCCGGTCTTTCAGTAGTGAGGTGGTTAACGAAGGCCAGAAAGATACCAGCCTGATGAAAATGACAGACAGCAAGTTTTAAAATCAATCCTAAATCTTTTTCCTCGAATTAACGCACACTGGAAAAACAAAACCTTCAAGTTTTGTAAAAGAGCTTAAAATGTTAAAGCTTCATGCACATCGAAAACTAAGAGTGGTGTTTTGCTGATTCTAACATAAATCATTTGAAAAACATATGGAATACATTCTTATTGTTACACAGGAGTCCAAAAATGGATAAAAGTAGAATCTTAAAAGATAAGAGATGGTATTTTCACCATTTATTGGAAAGTCTATATGAAAGATTGGATGGTTTATCTCACGTGTGCTTATGTGGCTGTTCAGAGTGCTTCTCAATATTGTAACCCTTGGATCTCCTGCTGCTAAGTTTTTAAACTAAATGGAAAAGAGAAGTCTTTTTTCTGAAGCAAACAAGAACCAAGAGAGTGAAGGTCTTCTCGGAGGGCTGAACAAGCAGGTTATTGTTTTACATTGCCACACAAGTGACTTGTAAACCTATGCCTGCATTTTCTTTTGCACTGTTGCCTCCCCCACCCAGTGGTGCATTGTGAGTGTAAAGCCAATTACTTGGACTTACACCACTGCTTGCAGCCCCAAGCCATCATCCCCACTTCCTGCCCAGGATCTACAGGATTTTCCTGTTCTGGGCATGGCCAGGAGCAGGACATGTGTCCGTGGGAGGAACTCACGGTCAGCTGTGTAGTGTCTGAATTTGTTTCTGCAGAAGAAGTGTGGACAGAGAGTGACTCAGTTGCTAGGCTCCAGGGTGCTGTACAGCACTGAGAGAGAGGGCCCTGGATTGGGGTGTCATCTTTGGGCAGGGTCTAGGTTATGTGCCCCTCAGAGAGGGAAGGACATGTGGTGACTGTGGCTGTGGCTGCAGATTTGCTCCCAGCTGCTCCAGCCAGTGAGCTGTGGATGGAATTGATCGCTCTCTGAGCAGAAGTGAGGACCTTGTCCACAATGCCCATATTCTTGGTTTCCTTCTAGGCCTGCAGACAGCAAGGTGCATGATGCTGGCCACTGTCAGGTTGGAGTGATGATGACCCTGAACAGTGTCACCCTGTTATGCTTGTTGGATGTGCAATATGGGCAAGAAACAAAACTTTTTCTTGCCTAAGAGGTTGGGCACAATCCAGCCTTTAATGACTACAAACAGGAAGAAAGAAATGAGTAACTGTAGGATGCACTGTGGCAGAGAAGGGCCAACCATTCCTCTTCCTCCTGGGCATGAGCTCATTCACGGCCTCAGGCTTCCTAGGCTGCTGGGTTAGGCTGTCTGGCTGTGTTTTGACTGATGGAATGTGGGTGGACAGTCTCTGGTGTCCGTCCTGGCCCCACCCAGGGCAAAATTTTGCAGAATATCTCCCCATACGGAACTAAGAGCCTGAGATTTTGGAGCAGGCATCCGCAAACCTTTCCTATGAAGGGCCAAACAGTAAATAGTTCAGGCTTTGTGCCTCTGTCTCTATTGCATCAGGCTCAGTGCTACTGTGTTATGGGAAAGCTGCCACAGACACTGTAAACAAACTGGCCTGGCTGTGTTCCAAATATATTATATTTCCAAGAAACCAGAGTGGGCTAGATGTGGCCATGAGTGGTATTTGTACACCCCCTACCTAGAGCTGGGGGGAGGAATGGGATGGATCCTGGTGCACACTATGGTGTATACTTACTGAACACCTATCATGATTGTTACCAAGTAAAGGATATCACTACTACATGATCTTACTCCACAGCCTGGGAGAGTCCAGAGAGATTAATATTCTAAATATTAAAAAAAAAGAGCTGTGAAAGACTAAACATATGACTGTTTCACCTGACTTTATAGCACTAATTAGAAATATGACAAAAACCCCATAATCTATGACCAGAAATATTAAGCAGATATGATGACCAAAATTTTAACATTTATCTACAGTGCAAAATCTTCCCACTATGGGATTTAAGAGAGAAAATATATGCAACATTTATTCATAACAGGAAAGTGCTGATGGGTGTACTGTGTCTAGAAAGTAATGTGAAAAAGAGAAGCAGTAAAGCAGAACACAGAGGCAATTCTCTAAATAAGGAACATGTGCTAATAAACACATGAAAATGTTTTCAACTCTTGCAATGATCTGAGCATAATTAAGGTAGCCTTTTTACTTATCAGTTTGGCAAAAATTAATATCAAATGTTGATGTGTAAGTGAAACAGGAACTTTCATACTTACCTGACTGAAGTATACATTAATAAACATTTTTGGAAAGCAATTTCAGTACTTACAAATATTAAAAATACATGTAACTTTGACAACACATTTCTACTACAAATTACCTCTTTTACCCACATCCTAATTGTGCAGAATGTATTTGTAAAGATCTTTATTGTACTCTTCTTTGTAAGAGCCTAATATTGATACATAGAAGAATTGTTGAATCCATCTACACTGGATGTCTTAAAGATGTATATGTATTGACATAGAAGGGTGCTGTGATGGATTCCCCAGTGGCAAGAGCAAGATAGGACAGAAATCTGTACACCAACACTTTTCTCCCTAGATGTGTCATTTTTACAATCATCGTTTCAGAAGTAAAGGCAGAAGGTAAGCAAGACTCAAAGGAAGGCCCCTTGTGGACACCAAGATAAGAAGCAGAACAGAGACTCAGTGGGGACAAACCCAAATTGAGAGTCATGTCCTGTGTGTCCCAGGGCAGCACATGGAATTCTGACCTGTTTCTGCTTGGAAATTTTCCAGAAAAGATGAAGACCTAGGTAAGAAGAGAAAGCATAGCCTTGCTGGTCAAACATGGCAGAAACGAAATGCAAAGGATGACGTTGGCTGAACTGGGTAGGTTTTCTTTTTGCTGCTCCAGACTTTGTGGGTTGATAACGTCTTCTCTGAAGTTTGTCCCAGAAGTGAACATATAGGTGAAAGGAGCCTAGATTTGGTTTTAAAGGTCATGCATCACCATGTACTGGAGGAAAATGACTGTAGGTCCAGTCTAGAATAGCTATACCAAAAGAAGAGAAACAGCACCAGGTTGCATGTATTTGTTCTCTGATATATATTTACATTTCCTGCTTTCCAAGATCAGCTTTTGTCACAAATCTGATTACTAGTGAGATAGAACATCTTCTCTTTTGCTTATTAACCATTTGTTTTAAGTAATGCCACACTGATCCACTACATAATGCAGTTGATTTGAGAGATATGACTGGTCTCTCAAATCCTCCATACTGTTGTAGTTTACTTAGATACAAAAAACTCCTGGTGTTTCTTTTGGACACCACATTGTGGAGCTTATGGGACCCAAACTCACTATTTAAAATAGCAAAATCTCAATTCCTCTGAGACATAGTAGAAATAAGCTGAGGCACAGGCTGGTAAGCTTCTAGGTAGTTCTGCTCTGAACATTTTTGCTTGAACCTTCCCAGCTGTGGGGCTGGCTTCACTGTAAGTGGACTCTGATACTCACATATTATGTTGCTGCACTAAAACTGGCACATAAAGTGCCACAGTCTGGCCATTTCAGACACTTTCCTTCCTATAGCGTCAGGGGTGAATCTGAAGTCCCAGATTCAGGTATCTTGGCTGATTCTGAGGGCAGTGGTGGAAGGATCTGGTCTAGGCCTATCTGCTAGATTATGGATGGTGAACTCTGCCCTGTGTCCCTTTGCTTGATTTTCTCTCCAGGCATGTTGGTCTACATCCGATTTGCACTTAGCATGAGGACACCATCATTCTGGATCAGAGCCCACTGTTAGGAGCTCATTTTAAAGACCTGTCTCCAAGTAAGGTCAGATGTCAAAGTCCTGGGGATTGGGATACAGCAGATCACTTGTGGAGGGCACAGTTCAGTCCTAAGAGATGGCACTATGATAGATAGCACAATGGGTTTAGAGCCAGAGGCTCCCAAGGGGTTTCCATGGGTCCTAGGTCAGAGCCCATGACCTCTACTTTCTAGGGTTACTTTGCTGTGCTCATCTCTGGTGTGTTGCTCTATCTTAGGTAATTGCACGAGGACATAACATTGGTTCCTGGTGTCCAGCATAATGCCAGACCCAGGAGAGGATGACTGAATGAGTAACAGTGAAGCCATGTGTGGGCTTTTTGAAGAACA